CAGTGTTCTGCAAGACAGGGATTATCAGAGCCACTGTTTTCAGTGCCCTTCCCTTTAGCAGAGAATGAAGCCTGGACCTATAAGTTTTAGGCTCACCTCACCCTAGGGCCTGGCATCCTGGTTTCCTACAGGTTTTGTTTGCTTGAGTTTACATGGGTCTTGTGCATGCTGACACCGTTGCTGTAGGTTCATATGAGAAGAGTCCCAGGAGCCTGTAGGACTCTATTTCCATATGGTCATGCACCTCCTCCCAGTCTTTCTGCTCCTCTTCCAAAATGGTCCCTGAGCCTGGAGGTGGGTAGATTTTAATATAGGAGTCCTGTCCAAGGACCAACACTTATGTAGACTCTTATTTATATTTTGGTCATTTGTGACTTTTGTGTTTCTGGCCCTCTGTTGCATGAGGGAGCTTCAGTGATGAGAATTGAAAGATGAATTAGTGTTTTCTTTATCCCTTGCTCTATGTTCTGTGAGCCTTAGGTGTAGAGGTTGCATTCTAGATGTGCCACTTAGGCTTGGGCAATTCACAGAGAATTTCTGTGTATGACCAGTTGTGGAACTCTAATAATCTGTTGAAAACAAAGCTTCTTTTATGGGTGGTGACTGGGATACTTGTCTATAAATTTAAGGATCCATATTTTGCACATGGTAAGAAATTACATTCTTCTAGGATGTGACAGCCCTTGGAGTTTTCTCTAAGATCTGTGACCTCTCCAGCTAAGTGTATTAGGCTAGGTTTACAGGACCACAAATGAGTTTCTCCCTGTGAGTGGGCTTTAAATCCAATTATATAGGTGTTGATTACTCCCAAGATAAAAGTGCCATTACTGCACCAGTGTTGTTTTGCTGTCCTGGTCATTGATGTGGTTTTTAGGCTGACAGAGACAGTGTGGGGGGCAGAGGGATAGGGAGAGAGGGAAAGAGGGAGGGAGGGAGAGATGGAGAGAGAGAGAGAGGAGAGAGAGAGAGGAAGGGAGGAACAGGGAGAGAGAAATGGAGAGAGACAGGGAGAGAGAGAGACAGATAGGGAGAGAGACATGGGGGAGGGGGGAGAGGAAGAGAGGGAGATAAGGAGGGAGGGAGGGAGAGAGAGAGAGAGAGGAAGGGAGGAACAGGGAGAGAGAAACAGGGAGAGAGACAGGGAGAGAGAGAGAGAGATTGATTCACTGTGTAGCCCTGACTAGCCTCAGATTCACTATAGACCAGGCTTGTTTTGAACTCACAGAGATCCGTCTGCCTCCCCCCCCAACCCCCCAAGAGTGCTGGGATTAAAGGTGTAAGCTACAATGCCTAGCTTTTCTGTGCATTTCTTATATTGAAATATGTTTGACTAGTCAGCTAAGATCAATTTCAGTCTTGTTGAAACCATATGAAAGAGTGACTTTTAAGAGTTTGAGGGGGCCAGTGAGATGGTTCAGTGGGTAAAGGTGCTTGCTGTGCAAACCTAGCCACCTGAGTTTGATCCCCAGAAATGATGTAAAGTTGCAAGGCAAGAACCAGCACCATAAAGTTGTCCTCTGACCACCATGTGCCACCTTTCCCATCATGGATATGCACTAAAGTAATTAATAAAGAGCTTGAGGGGTCATTTCTCAAGCAGTGAGGTAGCTCAGCTGGTAAAGGCTCCTGCAGCCAAGCCTGGTGACCTCAGTTTGATCCCTAAGACCTACATGATAGGAGACAACTGACTCCTGCAAATTTTCCTCTGACTTCCACATATGTGCTACAGTGTGCACACATGCACACACAAACAATAAATAACGTGTAATTAAAGAATTTCACTCCAATGAGGATCATGCTTATTTTCACTGTGCTTTAAAAATATATTATTAGCTGGGTGTGGTGGTGATGCTTTTAATCCTAGCACTTGGGAAGCAGAGTCAGGTAGATCTCTCTGAGTTCAAAGCCAGCCTGGTCTACATAGTGAGTTCTAGGTCAGCTGGGGCTACAGGGAGACCCTGTCTCTAAAAATCAACGTGTGTGTGTTTATGTGTGTGTGTGTGTGTGTGTGTATACACATATATAAATATAATATAATATATATTATAAAAAATTAGCTGGGCATGGTGGTGCATGCCTTTAATCCCAGCACTTGGGAGGTAGAAGCAGGTGAATCTCTCTCTGTGAGATTGAGGCCAGCTTGGTCTGCATAGTGAGTTCCAGGCCAGCTGGGGCTATGGGGAGACCCTATTTCAAAACAAAAACCAAAACAAAATCGAAAAAATTTATAAAAACTTTAAAAATAAGGCTGGACGTGTTGGCGCATGCCTTTCATCCCAGCACCTGGGAGGCAGAGGCAGGCAGATCTTTGTGAGTTCAAGGCCAGTCTGGTCTACATAGTGAGTTCCAGGCCAGCTGAGGCCACAGGGAGACCCTGTCTCAAAAAGACCAAAAAAAAATTTAAATATAAGGGAAAATTGTATGATAAGCAAAACATCTATTAGAATATAAAATGATGCTCTTTTTAAAAAAGATTTATTTTATTTATGTTTGAGTGTTTGCCTACATTCATGTATGTGCACCATGTACCTGGCTGGTGCCCAAAGAGTTCAGGAAAGGGTATCAGATTTCCTGGAATTGGAGTTACAAATGATTATGAGCCACCATGTGGGTTCTGGGAACTGAATGTGGGTTCTCTGTATGAGCAGCCATTGCTCTTCACCGCTGATCCAGCTCTCCCAT